CCCTGGAAGTGTTTAAGGCCAGGTTGGATGAGGCTTTGAGCACCTTCTAATGGAAGGTGTCCCTGCTGATGCCAGGGGTGTTGGAACTGCATGATGTTGAAGGTCCCTTCCAACCCAAACCATTCTATGATTCTATGATTCTATAGATGGCAGTGTTTTGATTTTACCCAGAGAGACGGAAATGGAACAGATAGATATCTCATGGATCATGGAAATTAGGTGTTCACTGTGCTGTTCAGGAGATCAAGGTACCATGTATCTATTAAATGTTGATCATAACAGATAAATAGTGAATTGATTTCCAAATATGTGCAGGGCATTAGCACCTCCTTTTTCTTTCTCAGGAGAATATGAAGCCATGAGTCCCCATATAATTTTTCAACTGTGATCGAAGCAGACTTTAGCTGATGAATGAAGTCAACAGAGTTGCTGGCAAATACAAATCTACTTAGGTCCTGAATTTGATCCAGGCCTCTAATAATTAGGATATGTGAAACTGAGCTCCCCATTCCCACCTGCCAATCTAGTTTGCTCCTGGTAGTGTCAGAAATAAGTTCTAGGAACAAGCCTTCTGCTCTGAAGGATTAACACAGATAAATGCATTACTGTGTTGATGCTGTGAATTTTGTGTGCTGTTCACTCTGTATCTTTCTTCCCTGAGGGCCTACCCTGTCTCAGGTCACTCCTGAACCCTCTTCTGGGCAAGCTCATTCAATCCTTCCAGGTCGAAACTCCTAATGTTTGTTGTGCTGTAAAGTACCTTCTAAAAGTCTATTAATCTGGTCTAAGATTTCCTTAAAATTTAAAAAGTCAATAGACTGTCTGTGCTTGTACACGATGCTTTTCTCCAGCTCTAATGAAAGCGAGCATCACCTTGTGCACACTGTTTCTAGGAGCTCTTGGCTGGCCACTCACTTCCCATAAAAGGCATGGCACCAGCCTTGCTGTGGCATTCGTTCTGGGATGCTGCTTTTTAGGTCTAAACCTCATCTCTTCTGTGGTTTGTGAGTATCCCTGCAAAATACCCGCACTGAAATTCTCATGCTTTTTTCTTCCAACACTGTTTTGTTATTATTTTAAAGAGTTTATGAATAAGCCTTTGTACGTTATTAAATCTTCTAAAAGAAGAAACTTACCATATCAATACGAAGCCGATGACATTTATGAAAGCTCAAAATTGAGTTTGTTCTGAATTTCAGACTTGGCAAAAATGTAGGTCTTGATAAGGTCTGTCAATGTTTGTTTAGTCTGGAAATCTTTGGCACTGAAATAAAAATTCCTTGCAGTAAGTGTGACGACAATACTTACCCTGCCTGTACATTTTCTTGACTATTTTTCACTACTCTTCTTGTACTCACTATCTACAAGATAAATTACAATTTGTTTCTAACTTTATTTCTCTTGAAAACTTATCTGCCATCTGTAGTACCATGAGACCACTTCTTCCTCATACATGCTGATAGAACCCACCTCTGTGATCTGCAGTGAAGGACAGCATTTAAGCAAAGGGTTCATTACTGTTAAGTAGAATCCTTACAGTTGTGTAGTGCAGCTGGATTGCATGTCTGCTGTCTCCTAAGATATTCCTAGATTAGGTCAATTTAATGGCTGAGGACAAGTAGCCATTTTCTTTATAATAAAGGTGATTGCTGGAGAGTGCCTCAGCCACAGCACAAGGTTTGAATTACAGCAGGTGCATACCAATTAGACACAAATGAAAACATCAGTGAGGCACAGATCCTGCCCTACTGCTGTTACACGAATATAATATATTTTCCTTTGCCTACCTTTCCAGTCTATTTCTTCAGTTCCCCTTCAGGTTAGCATTGATGATAACAATGGTTTTATTCTTACTGCTCAACACCTACCTAAAGAAGCTGTCACTGAAGATACCTCCACTTCCATAGAAAGCCAAAAAGGTGTTGTGCACCTAAGCAGTTGATTGGATGTAAGCTTAATTCAAAGCCAGGATATATATTTTCAAATCCAGGATCTAGTATTTTCTAAAATGAAGTGTAATTTTTCCGCACTTGACTACGAAAAGAATGCAAATGAACTTTTAGCTTCCTTAAAAAAAAGCAATAAAGCAAGAATAAGCTTCTGCCTGACACCCAACATGGCAGAGTAATTCCACCACTCATTAAACTAAGTCATAACAGTAGTTTCAATGGAACATCAACTATCACATTGATTATAGACCAAAGAACACCATCTCAAAGCTGCAAAACCACTGCTATACACACACACAGTCTCTGTACAGAGCAGCTCACATGATGCTGCATTATCACTGCATGATACCGTTATCTGTTAGTAGATGTACATCAGTACCATGGCAATAGCATAACTCGTGCAGTCAGAGTATGTTCTGAGATATCAATGTTTTTCTTTTTGGTTTAGAAATATGATGGGGTACGTACATTTGATCTTCCTATCTACCTTCCTCTCGGTTTCCATGACATCTGAAACATGTAAGTCACTTTTTAAAAATAGTTTCTGATGAGGTTTATTCTGTAGAAATGTGTAGGCTGTTTCCAAATTGATATTTTTTTTTTAAGAAGCTGAAAGTAGCTAGTTTACCTCAAGCCACAAATCACAGCTTAAAAACTAGCTTTATGTGTTTTCTATGTATATTAAAATGCAAAGACTACTGTCTATTTCTGTGATGTTAGGTCTAGGTTCTACCTCTGCTCCTTGGCATCTCTGCAAGCAGAAAGAAAAGGGTCTTTTTGAAAGGATCTGAGAGTAGTTGGTGTTCCAGGCCCCAGCTGGGCAAAGTCTCCAAGATCATGCTTAAATTGCACC